TTTGCCAAATGAGCCGCGTCCAACGTATTTGGGAAAAATCATTCCTACAAAAAAAAAAAAAAAAAAGAATTTCAGATGTTTTGGCTTAATTGTGCAAATGTAGTGTTTTCAGTCCTAAAAATGCAGTGGTTTTGGAACCACTTGTGTGGCAGCCAGAATATGGTACTGATTAGAAATAAACCTCTTAGATTGGCTCTCCTTGTCTGTGCAAAGAAAAGAATCATGGAAATAACCAGTCTGAGCAGTGGATCAGATTTTGAAAATTATTTATTTCAGTGGCATACTGTCATGTTATCAACTAGGGTGAAACATTTGTTTTAAAACCTTTATTTACATCAGAACCTCATTCTGTAGAAATCAACGTACTTTCATTGACACCAGCATACACTGGCTGAGACACTGGGGAGTGATTATTGATCAGAGTGTGCCTTTATTAAACCTCTGGAGAAAGGTACATTGTTGTCTACTTGGAGAAAAAATTTAAATTATTCCATCTGGTTCCTGAAACAATTTCTGCTGATTGGGACAGAAGACCTTAATGAAATCAAGGACTTTGAAATCTGTAATCATACACGTTGCATGATTGCTTTCTAACCACTTCAGAAGGTTTAATCAGTTATTGATTGTGTTTGTATATATATCACCATTGTCTTTATTTTTTGTCTAGTCCTGGTCACTTAGGATAAGAAAACACAAAAATCATCCTCTTAATTGTGTAGGAGGTCAGGCCACGCCTGGAGTATTGTGTCCAGTTCTGGGCTCTTCAGGACAAAAGAGAGATGGAGCTGCTGGAGACAGTCCAGCAAAAAGATGGTTAAGGGACTGGAGCATCTTTCCTATGACAAAAAGTTGAGAGAGCTAGGACTGTTCAGCCTGGAGAAGAGAAGGCTCGGGGGCATCTTTTCAATATGTACAAATACTTGGAAGGGAGGGTGTAAAGATGACAGTGGTGCCCAGTGACAGGACCAGAGGCAACGGACACAAACTGAAGCACAGGAGTTTCCATCTAGACATCAGGAAACCCTTTTTTACAATGAGGGTGACTGAGCACTGGCATAGGTTTCCCAGAGAGGTTGTGGAGTGTCCATACTTGTAAATATTCAAAAGCCGTCTGCATATGGTCCTGGGCAACTGGCTCTGGGTGACCCTGCGTGAGCAGAGGAGTTGGATGAGATGATTTCCAGAGGTTCCTTCCAACTACAACCATTCTGTGATTCTGTGAGGTACCTCTGGCTGCAGTGGAATTGACACCTATTAGAGTAATTAATGCCAAGCTGAGGTTTAATATTGCCTCCTTTGGTACTCTGTAAATGCAGTTGGCAGCAGAACTGGGATTAAGTTATTAGCCTCAAACACCCAATAGTGATTTATAAAGTCACAGCTAAATGAGGGGTAATTACCCCAGGTTTGGTCACTGTTTGTCATAAACTTTGAAAGTATGACAGTTCTTTCGCCCCAGTGGCTAGCTGCAATTTTAGAGAAAATCTTTGTACGATTACATCTCCAGAAGAATAAAGTCTGTGGTCCTGATCCTGCTCTTGTTAGTTTATTGGAGATTTTCTATAATTTATAAGCAGCAGAACTGTTTTAAGCTGTAGGACTGTAACAGAGAATAGCCCTGCACCTTTGTGGGCTGGATCAAGCTGGAAATGACTCTGGCTTTCTTGAAGAGGAACTCTTCCAGAAAGCTTCCTGCCTAACCTACATGGTAGTTCACTCAGCCTGTAGAGACTACTGTGTGCTGAAAGAGCATCAGGAAGATTTAATAAAGTGTCAAAGTGCTTCTAAAAACGTGGTTAGAGCAGCGATTTCCTGGATACACATGCACCACAACAAATGGCCTCATCTCAGCTGATATTAAAGCAATAACTCTTTGACACTTCATGCTACCCACTGAAAGAAAGATAAAGGTCAATACGTACCTCCATTACAACTTTCTGCATTTCAATATCAGGCCATTTTATTGTTGTCGCAGCACAGATGGCTCGCCTTTCTTCCTTACTCTTGGTAGAATTTGATTCTGTCAGTTTAAGTTGTGTTATTTGTGTGGTGAAAGTGAGAAGGAATTATCTTTTTCTGTTTGGGCAGTATTTCCAGCTGTTGTTTTCAGATGCCTAATGATTATTTTATCTTGCTTGTGTTCGACATCACCATTGTCAAGCCTGCTTACAATTTTAGAACTAAGTGGTGGAAAAATCTAATAGAACAAGTTTGGTTTTTGGGGAGTGTAAAATATAGCTACCTAAGGCTATGAGCGGTACAAACACAGTTAGTTATTACCTTGCTCCAGCTTTCTCTTCTCTTTTCTGCTCAGAAATAAACAATTTTTCTTCACTTTCAAGCCCTTTCACAGTTTAGCTTCTTCTCTCCCCATTCTGATCAGCTGATTCAAGCTTTTGTTTCCCTCCCTTCTTAGATTTGATCATAAGAATCATTCTGCTTCCTGGTACCATCCGCAAGGCAACTATAGGTTATTTATCCAATCCCATTGAAACCCTCCTGTCATCATGATGTGCCAAAAAGTTGTCAGAGGTTAGGCTGATGATGGTCTAAGGTAGCTGTTTATCAAGCCCACCAATATTGTCACATTTTTTGTTTTATTATCCATTTTTCTGTATCCATGTGTGATAACTTGTTTTATGCTTAGATTGCAGACTCCTTGGGTTCAAAATGTACTTTTTTTTCTGCATGTGTACACTATTTAGAACAGAAGGGTTCTGGCCCATTGTAGAAATACCAAGCATGATACAATTAAAAGTAAAGCATCTAATGCAAAATAGCAAGAATAGGGATAAATAATTATTTTTGTTACTGTATTAGAAGTATCTGTGCTATTCATATTACTTATTGTCATATGTGAGTAACTAAAACTTCTCCTTTTTGAAATGCATATAAAGCTTGTGCAGAATATCGTCTGTAATCCCAAAGTGATACAAAATCCAGGGGAATTTCAGTCGGATTTAGATTTACGCATCACTTGTTAAGGAAGTTAAGAGTATGATGACTGCAAAGATTTCTTCAGTTTGTAACATACAGCAAGATACCTCCTGCAGTTAGGTAGTCTGAGTACTGCCAGAAATATTTTTGAGCACAGTTAGACTAAAACAGCTGGGAAAATGAAGTGCTTTAAAAATACACAGTATATGCACAGACCAATGACATGCTTTGCAATTTGTGAAGATCCCAATCGCAGGATATAGTCTTGGACAAACAAACAAGACAAAGGGAATTGAGAGAAGAATATTACTGGAAATATCCGGTGGCAATGATACTGGCATTTTAAATGTCTGTAACTTCATTTTGGTTTAAAATTTATAATAACATTTCTGCAAGGCAGTGAAACTCAGATCAGGGGAGGACAGGCAGGATTTGAGTGAGAAACAGTTGAGATGTATGACTGTATGCTATACTGATAGGAGCGTTTCTGTGATTCAAATATCCTTCAGAGAGGCCTTGAAGGAAGATAACAAGAGCTGACCTTTTTCTGTTAACTGAAAATAAGGGAGAAAAAGGAGTTTCAATTTCTGTTTGTTTCAGTGAGTTGCAAATGGTGCTTGTGCTCTGCTGCCCCGAGTAGAAACGCTGATTTGACTTTCTCACACGTGGTATTGCTCTGGATTTAAGTACGATCTGTTCAGAAGGGACATGTGCTGTGCAAAATTCCGGCTGCCGGTTTTCGGTCTCAGGGCCCTGACACACCAGACTCTCCTGTGATATTAATATTTTCTCTGGGACTTCTGCTTTGCCTACGAAGGCCTCAAAGATAAGCTGTTAGCTTTTGCACGTGGTACAGTAGAGTGCTGTGCAGGCTGCTACTCGATGAGAGTCACTGTACTGCGCCATGTTGTATTCTTGCAAGGCTGCCACGTTTCTTGCAGGGTTACTTCGTTAGCAATTGTTAAAGGTCCTGAAATCCCACGTATTCCTATTTCCTCATTTAAAGCACAGCTTCAATTATTAGTGAAGTAGTTTGGGGATTTCTGGGTTCGGGAAACCTCTGTGAAAATGAGTTAAAGTGACACTCATTCTCTTGGTTTCTGCTTCTGTGTCAGTTGCCTATATGCTCAGAATTTATTTAGAGAGTCACTGCTCAAAGCTTTTTAGGAGACTCCATATGCTCTCATGTGGCGTGTTCTGTTCAGTCCACAGCTAGGTCATTCAGTTTTCAAACGATCTGTGTAAAAAATATCTTTGAATTTAATTGCTAAGTAAAGCTAGTCTAGAAAAGCATGCATGGTGATACATGAGTCTTCCATTCAAAACACGATCAGTTCAGCGAATCCAAGATACGATTCTAGTTTGTGCGTGGGTTCTTAAGGAGAACCGCTCCAGATAAGCTTCTGGAGGCCCTAGGGCCCACTGACCTAGGGCAGGCCCCTAATATGTTTGCCCTATGGCACGGATGTCTGGGGTCCCAAGACCCCACAGACAGTTTTATGTGAAGAAGAGATC